AATGGTTTGAGTGATCTAACATACACAGAAAATTTTGGGCGCTTTATCGGAGTTGGTTTTCAATTTGCCTTTGTCTTAGAATATTTTTGGTTGTTCTGGAGCTCACAGAAAATGGTGGGCCACAGAAAACTCACCTTGCACATCCTTTTTGCTCAGCGTCAACCATCGATAGAGATCTCTGGGTATATCGAGAATGATCAATTGCAGAAAAACCCCGAAAGTGCTCAGCAGTTTGAAAGACCATTTTGTGTACTCGGCGCGCATCGCATTTGAAGAGGGAATGAGCTGAAAATGGAGAGCTCGATGAAAGTTCGACAAGGAAATGAGCTTATGTAGCGAATCCAGTCCACGATTGATAAAAAACGGCAAAGCAGGTCAGAATTTGCAACTTAATAGGGGAATCTCGAAGTGCGAAAGGGGAAAAAAGAGTTGAAGTACAAGGAGAAGTGAAGGTACGAACTGGATCGGTTGAATAAAGGGGAAAAGGAGGGAAAGAGATTGAGGGATGGGGTTTGGAGTCAATGGATTGGGTGAGTGAGTGAAGAGGATTGGGGCTAACAATGAGGTTAACATTTTGAAGGATTGGAAAGTTCGAGAGATTGACTGAAATTGAAATGGGAATCGGTTTGGTTGATCGGTAAGGGGATTAGTTTTGGATTTGGTAAACCTTGTTGGTGTTCTGTAGGCTTTGTTTGTGTTCCAAACTTTGTTTACAATAGAAATAATGGCCGATAATGAGATTTAGAGATCCCAAAAGAAAAAAGGTTAAAATTTTATCGCATTGAGCTTTCTGAGTTTGCAATTTTCAATAGAGTACTCCAGAGGCTCCAGAGGCTCAATATGCTCAAAGAGGATTGAAAATGATCAAACAAAATGATCCTTCACTAGAAGAACCACTTGGAAAAGTTGTAGTGGAAGAGTCAAACAAAAACAGTGGCTAAAGAATCCACTTCAGACGGTTTCAGAGCTTTTAGGGTTTCAGAGTTCCAGTTCTCGACTGAATTCTCGAGTTATGGGATACATTTGACCCTTTTGAACTGTTGATAAGCTCTAAGTTTAAATTTTGAGAACAACTGATAAATCGTGCCACGATTTTGACAGTGTCACTCGATCCTGGTTTAAAGTAAAGCAAAATTTTGACTGAATTCTCGCGTTCTGGTATGTACTCGATCCTTTTGAACTGTTGATAAGCTCTATATTTGATTTTTCCCATCAACTGTTGAATCGTGCGACAATTTTGACGGTGTCCCTCGATCCTGGTTTACAATAGAATAAAATTTTGACTGGATTCTCGAGTTATGGGATACACGCAACCTTTTCGAATTGATGATCAGCGCTAGTTTACATTTTTGGGAACAAGTGATAAATCGTGCCACAATTTTGGCAGTGTCACTCGACTCTGGTTTACAATAGAACAAAATCTTGGCTCGATTCTCGCGTTCTGGTATGCACTCGATCCTTTTGAACTGTTGATAAACTCTATATTTGATTTTTCCCATCAACTGTTGAATCGTGCGACAATTTTGACGGTGTCACTCGATCCTGGTTTACAATAGAATAAAATTTTGACTGGATTCTCGAGTTATGGGATACACGCGACCTTTTCGAATTGATGATCAGCGCTAGGTTACATTTTTGAAAACAAGTGATAAATCGTGCCACAATTTTGGCAGTGTCACTCGACTCTGGTATATAATAGAATGAAATTTTGACTAAATTCTCGAGCTATGGGATGCACCCTATCTTTTCGAATTGATGATAAGCTCTATGTTTAATTTTTAAGAAAATTTTTGAGAAGTTTGCCAATGAGACAAATCTAATTGCTATTGTTGAACCATTCATTTATAGCTGTGACTCATAGTGAAACGGACAATGACAAAGACAATGAATGAGTAATCTGTGAAAATGAGAAAAATGAGAAAAGTCCTTTCAACAATGGAATGCAAAAGTGGATAAGGACTAAATCGAAAGCCAATCAAAGTCCTGGGAACAATGGTGAGCAGTGAGTTTTGAACTCTTGAAACAAGTGTTCAAATCGGAGCTGTGAACTTCAATAAACTATAGCAAATTGCGAAAGAGTTTCTAATTATGGCACAAACAGCAAAACGACCTCTGAGATAAAACCGGGGTGGTGGCATCGATCAGTTGGAGGGGAGGGGGGAGGTCGAGAATCTCCGCTGTACCCCATCTCTCGCCCCTCAGACAGCACCCATATGACAAGATCTTCAATCATTTATCTTCTCTATCTCAGAGATGAGCTTCTCCTTCATTTTCTCATGAGAAACTCACCTTTCACCCCTTTTCTTTTTCGTTTCTGAGGTCGGAGGGTGAGAAGGAGGTCATTTCAAATAACATGCCCTAAGAAAAAACTGAAGCTAGTTTTGAAGCTGAAGCTAAAAGCTAAGAATATTAGGCAGGGAAAATATGGGAAAATTTTGGGAGCTTTATCGGAGTTGTTTTTCAATTTGCCTTTGTCCTAGAATATTTTTGGTTGTTCTGGAGCTCACAGAAAATGATGGGCCACAGAAAACTCACCTTGCATATATGGAAAAATATGGATTTTTGAATCAAAAAAAGGTCAGAGTTGAGATTTTGAGAGTCGATAAAATGTAGATTTTTGCAAAGTTGAAATGGATGATGAAATGAGATTCAGAAGGGATTTTGAGGCAGAATTAGATACGGTAAAATGATAAAATTCAAAAGTGCAGTCGAAATTGAGTCTCTCTAAATTGTCTTTTCTCTAAATTGAGGAAAATTTAGGCACAAGAAGTTTTTGGAGCTCTGCAGTTACGATAAAAATAATAAAGAAAGCTAATAACGAGTGGGATTACGAGAATTCAGTCAAAATTTTCAACCATTCTAAACCAGATTCGAGTGACACGGCAAAATTGTGGACCGATTCATCAGTTGACCTCAAAAATAAAATTTAGAGCTTATCAACAGTTCAAAAAAATCGGGTGCATACCATAACTCGAGAATCCAGTCAAAATTTTGTTTTGTTATAAACCAGAGTCAAGTAAAACCGTCAAAATTGTCGCATGATTCATCAGTTGTTCTCAGAATTAAACTTAGAGCTCATTAACAGTTCAAAAGGATCATGTGCATACCATAACTCGAGAATTCAGTCAAAATTTTGTTTTGTTATAAACCAGAGTCGAGTGACACCGTCAAAATCGTGGCACGATTTATCTGTTGTTCTCAGAGTTAAACTTAGAGCTCATTAACAGTTCAAAAGGATCATGTGCATACCATAACTCCAGAATTCAGTCTAGATCTTGTTCTATTGTAAACCAGAGTCGAGTGACACTGTCAAAATTGTCGCACGATTCATGAGCTGTTTTCAAAAAATTGGAAAATTGTTGAGCTCTGCAGTTACGATAGAAATAATGAAGAAAGCTAATAACGAGTAGGATTACAGTACAAATCGAAATTGAGTTCAAAATTGGATTTGCTTAAATCTAATTTCCAATGGGTTTAGTTGAAAAGAGAGTTCAAAAAGGATAGGTACGGTACGACAAGTTCTTAACTCTTTAGCTCTTCTATAAACTGAATCCATATCTTTGTAGAGTCTTTGTGAGCTCCATAGTAGCTAAATCTCTTATAGAAGAGTACAGTAGTTGTTAATTTCCAACACAAATCAATAGAAAATCTATCAGAAACAGAAAAACTCAAAAAAGTGAACAAATTTCTGCGAGTGTACTGTGTGCGCTCCAACTTGACACCTCGGGGTGGAAAGAGAAAAAATGGAGAAGAAGAAAAAGATGAAACAGAGCTGAACAGTCTTTTCTCTGTTAATCAACAAGCAATCAATCCCCCCTTTTCTCTTTGGTGGATGTACGGGACGAAAACTGGATTGTTTTTGCCTGAGGGGTGAAAAGAGAAAAGAAAGCAGCCAGAAAAATAAGAAAAAAAAAGAGAAAAAGTCGATTTTGAGGTTGGAGCTGGATTAGGAGAGAATCTAAAATATTGGCTAGTTGAAATTATTTAGCGCAAAAAGTACAGTAATCCTTTACTGTATTAAGACGAAAGGTACAGTAATCATTGAAAAAAACAGAATCGGAATCTACATGCAGAATCCGAAGCTACCTGCAGAACGAGAAATTTTTTCGCGAGCCGATAGAGGAGACAAGCTCGAGAAGGAGGATCACTGGAATAAGAGATAATTGAGAGAGAAGCAGAAATCTAAGTGTGGTGACATCCAGCACCAGCAATGGAAGACGAAGACGGCTAAACGGATCATCCCTTGTGTTTTCTCTGCCACTTAATGATACTGACACATTGTTGGAGACTGGTTGTTGAAAATTGGCTGTGAGCCAATAAGTATGTAATATTAGACTTTTAGAGGAGCAAGCAAGCCAGCCAGCAAGCCAGCAAGCCAGCAAGCCAGCAAGCCAGCAAGCCAGCAAGCCAGCAAGCCAGCAAGCCAGCAAGCCAGCAAGCAAGCGAGCAACAATTAGAGCAGTCAATTTGAACAAAGCCTTGTTTTTCCTTTTTCTAGAACTTGAGCCTTTAGATAAAGCTAGACATCGTAAATCTAGTGTTGATGGAAAAATGAAAATGGGAAATTGAGAGGAATTGATAAATGATCTAATCAAACGTCATTAAGAACCGGTTTTTGAAAAAATTATTTGAACTTTTAGTTGTTAGTAGATTTTAAAGAAAGATCATGGGAAAATAGCTTTGAAAATTTGAAGTAAGTTTAGCTTTTAAGCTTTTGAGCTTGCTAGCTTTGAAGCTTGCTAGCTTTGCTGCTAGCTTTTAAAGAAAAGTCTATTTGAAACTAGGTCAAAGAGTTGTTGGATTACTTCAAAACGTTCAAAACGGGAACGAAAAGAAAAGTCGGAATGAAGTTTGTGAAGAGGAGAGGAATGGAGAGAGGAGAGCAACTAGTCTACCATTTCAATCCCACTTTCTCTTTTGTCGGAAAGCCGGAAAGTCTGGATGACTGTGAATAAAGAGAAATAAGCATTCACCAAGTTTCCCTTGTGCAATTATGCAAACAAAAATTGATACAATATAAATATAAACCTACCAAAACTAAAATAATAATAAACTAAATAATTCAAAAAACTTTAATAATCTTGTCGCTGTTTTGATATTTCGATTTGCGCGTATGATTTCATAGCCTTGTCTTTCCTTTCTTTCGTCTTTCGATTATCAGCCAAACTTGAGACAAAAACGATACAAACGTTGGTCATCAAATGAAAAGAAAATGAAAGAGATTGATGACCTCACTCTTTGGGAAATAGGTTAAAAACTATCCA